TTTAGATATCGACAAGACTCGCCGTTAACGTCGGAAGGGTTGCGTAGCTTGCGTTTGCTGTTTTGAAAACCGTTGGTTTGTTGTTGAGTGACGCTGCAAAATGATTTTATATTTCTCAGGCCCTCGTATATTGTCATTCAGTTTTGCAGATGTGTTTCTAGTAATCTTATATTTAATGCCTTTGAGTAAAATAAAAGTAAGCTCGGATTGAGTTGGGTCGAGCTGTTGAGTTGAGAGAGGAATGATGCACTATGAAATGAAACAAGTACAAGTACCAACCCTAATTGGGTTGTACCCCATATGGGCTACCCCACTACAGCCTACATATATGCATCAGCAATATATAATCATCTGACACACCCCCATAGGCAAAGTGGGGGAGAGCAAGGGGTCACAAGACCAGTCAAGCAAAGCAAAGCAAAGCAAAGCAAGCTCAGGGTGGATCTCAAGGATACCACACAAATTCCGAGCACAAGGTCAAGGCCACAAGGCCAGTTCACATGCAGCAGAGCATATATATATAACAGTGCTAAACAAGCAAGAGCAAGGATATATATATGCAGCAGTACAAGCAAGGTCAAGAGGTAAGCAAGTGAGGCCCAGTGGGCACAAGGCCTAGCAGAGTGCAAAAGCGCTGATGGTCACGAGGCGGAAGTGCCTTGGTGAACACATCAGCAGTGTTGGCCTCAGTGGCCACGAAACGCAGGCGAAGCTGACCACGCTGCTGCAGCTCTCGAGCAAGGAAGTAGCGCAGAGCAATGTGCTTCGTCCTGTGCTCCAGTCTGTGCTCCTGACACAAGGCAATGGTTGCCTTGTTGTCGACGTACAGCAGTGGAGGAGAACGAGGCCGCTCTCCAAGGTCAGTCAGCAGGTAGGTGAGCCAGCGAAGCTCCTGGGCAGCCATGGCCGTGGCGTAGATCTCAGCCTCACAACGGGAGCTGAGAACCGAAGAAGAGCGAGTAGAGCGCCAAGAGACAGAGCCAGAGCCAAGACTGAAGGTGTAACCCTGAGACGACCTCTGAGTAGCCTGGTCGTCAGCCCAAGAAGCGTCTGAGTGCCCAGTGAGCACAGGCCGCTCACGCCCTCCAAGCACTAGCCCCATGCCCGACGTACTGCACAAGTAGCGCAACACCCTCTTAGCTGCATCCATGTGCTCCTTCCGGTGACGGCCGGGAGCGACATAGCGTGCTAAGATGCTGAGAGGGTATGCGAGGTCAGGTCGAGTGCAGGTCATCAAGTACATGAGGCAGCCCACAAGCTCTGGATACGGACCACTCGACTCTACGGACTCATCCGAAGGCAGAGCTGAGAGCGAGTGTCCCGTAGGCAGAGGAGTGGACTGAGGCGAGGAGTACGTGAAGCCGAAGCGCTGAAGGACCTGCTGCACCATGTGTGACTGAGTCAGGGTAATGGTGCGGCGTGCTCTGTCCCGGGTGATCCGCAAGCCAAGATAGCTTGTCAGTTCACCCAGGTCTGTGCACGTGTGTCTCTTCTGCAGCTCGGACTTCACGTGGGCGAGTGCGGCAGTGTCCGCAGTGGCAAAGACCAAGTCGTCGACGTACACGAGGATGTAGAACGGCGGCAGCGAGGTGTCGGTGCGCAGAAACAGCGACGGGTCAGCAGTAGAAGGAGCAAACCCAAGAGCCGCAAGTGTAGTCCTCAGTGTGTCGTGCCACTCGCGCGGCGCCTGGCGGAGACCGTAGACTGGCCGCCGGAGGCTCCACTGGGTACCAGGAGGGAACGACCCAATGAAACCAGGAGGGCGGCGCAGCCAGATCTCCTCGTGCAGGCGGCCCTGCAGGAAAGCAGTGCTGAAGTCAAGAGAGTGTAGCTCGTAGTCACGCTGAGCAGCGACGTGCAGCAGAACCCGAAGAGTGGTCATCTTCGGGGTCGGGGAGAAGGTCTGAAAGAAGTCAACTCCCTGTCGCTGACTGAAGCCACGAGCCACGTAGCGCGCCTTGAAGACAGGCGGAGAACCCGGCGGCCGCTTCACCCTGAAAATCCACATGCCACTGACAATGTTCGCCCCAGGAGGGGGAACAGCGTCCACGTAGGTGCCTGTGGACTTCCAGGAAGCCATCTCTGCGTCCATGGCTGACTGCCACTGTGAGGAGTAGGGACCGGCCATCGCCTCTGCGTAAGAGCGTGGGGTCGGGATGTCTAGAGCATCCGGGTCTCCCTCAGGGGCAACAAGCATGGACACAAGATGGGGCAAAGCGGCGGCAAAGCACTGGAACTCCTCCTGCCTGTCCTCAAGGACGTCCGTGCCAAGAGCACAGTCACCCCCGACGGACGGAGGACAGGCAGACGCAGACGCAGCAGACGCAGACTCAGCAGACTCAGCAGACGCAGCAACAAGACTGGCAGCGTAGTCTAAACGACACGCAGCAGCAAAGTCGACCAGCTCCGCAAATAGGGCAGACGCAGCAGCGGACTCAAAGGAAGGGTCAGTGACAAGAGAAGCAAGAAGACGCGTGACAGTAGGACTGGCAGCACGGCGAGAGTCCGACTCCGGGTCGTCAAGAGTAGGAAGAGAGGACTCAGGAGGAGAAGGCAAAGGGGCACGCAGAGGAGCAGTGGACGGACGCAGAGACATCTGGTGCGTGCCAGGGACAGGAGGAGGACGCTGACGCGAACCGCGACCACTAGGGCGAGCAGCTCGGACTGGCGACGCAGGGCGGGACGCAGGCTCACGACGCTCAGCAAGACCTCCAGTAGGACCAGCGTAGGGAGAAGGAGAAGGCAGGGGAGAGGCGGGCTGTAACTGTGACTGCGACGGAACAGGCTGTGGACACTCTACGGGAGGAGAAGGACCAGTGGAAGGCGGGAGACCAAGAACCTGCTGGAGGAGCGGAACGAAGTACGGCCGAGGCCGCGCAGCACCGCCAGAGACAGCAGAGACAGCACCAACACCTCCAGAGGCAGCACCAGCACCAGTAGCAGCTCCAACTCCAGCACCTCCAGCAGAGCCAGAAGTACCCTCAGGAGGACCGACAGTCGTAGTCTCAGCGCCACCACCCGCAGCACCTCCAGCTCCAGCAGCGCGCCTCCAGCGCCGGGCAAACCACTCACGTAGCTCCAGAGGAGAGAGCGGCTCGCGGCTCGAACCACCAGGAAGAGGAGCAACAGGCGAAGCACTCCCAGACGCAGTACCCCCAGGCTCAGCACCCCCAGGCTCAGCACCCCCAGTCGCAGTACTCCCAGGCTCAGCACCCCCAGGCCCAGCACCCCCAGGCTCAGCACCCCCAGTCGCAGTACGCCCAGGCTCAGCACCCCCAGGCTCAGCACCCCCAGGCTCAGCACCCCCAGGCTCAGTACCCCCAGTCTCAGCACCCCCAGGCTCAGCACCCCCAGTCGCAGCACCCCCAGGCTCAGCACCCCCAGTCTCAGCACCCCCAGGCTCAGTACCCCGAGGCTCCGCACCCGCAGCAGCACCAGAGTCACCAGTGACCTCAACAGGCTCGACCGCGTCTACCTGAGACACACCTGAAGGGGCAGGACCCTGAGGGGGGAGGGGGTCTACCGGGGGGGGACCTGGGACCAGGAAGAGGGGCGGTGGGGGAAGGGAGGGAGTGCGGTAGGGGAAGAGCCGGTAGAAGGGGACCGACTCGTCGAACGTGACGTCCTGAGAGGACAGAACACGACGAGAGGTGGGGTGGTAAAACTGCCACCCAGGGGCGTCAGGGGGGAAACCCAGGAAGACGCAAGGAGCAGCACGAGGGGACAGCTTGTCCGCAGACAAGTCGCGGACAAACGCCCGAGATCCCCAGACACGGAACGCCGACGCATCGCCAACCTTCCCCGTCCACAGCAGAGCTAGGGAGGTCTCCGGTCTGGAGACCCTGGGCTGAAGGTTGATCTGGTGCGCGGCGTACCTCACCGCAAACGGCCACAGAAAATGGGGGGCAGCCGCATGCACCATGGACGTACGGGCGACATCCATGACAATGCCGATGCGGCGCTCAGCAATCCCATTCTGCTGTGGAGAGTCCGGAAGCGTGAAGGTCTGGCGGATGCCTTGTGCACGACAGTAGGCTCGCAGAAGGCCGGAGGAGAACTCTCCGCCTCTGTCCGAGTGCAGACGCAAAACAGGAAAGTCCGAGCCGAAGCTCCGCCTGAGCTGGAGACGAGCTGCGCGGATCCAGTCGATCAACACCTCAGTGACCTCACCCTTGCTGCGCAAGGGGAAGACCGTGGTGTAACGCGAGTAGTCGTCAACCACCAGCAGGAAGTAGCGCTCGTGACCCTGTCCACGGACGCGGGCTGGGCCCCACACGTCCATGTGAAGCGTCTGCATCGGGGCCTCCGTCGGAGGAAAGGGGGAGGAGTGAGGGGTAGCCCGCAGGCGACCCTCGACACAGGGGACACAGGGAGGACCAGGCCCCGGAGGAAGGGGAGGGAGGGACCGAGGAAGACCAGAGACAAGAAGGCGAGAGGCCATGCCAGGGAGACGAGGCAGGGAGGGGTGACCCATCCTGTGGTGCCACAGGAGGGTCTCGTGAGACAGGAGGCGACAGGAGCAGGGGGCAGACTCAGGACCAGACCTGGACGCTGCAGCAAACACCTGGCCCGACGCTGCTACCTGACCAGACGCAGGAGGAGGAGACGGAACAGTGAGTGTGTACAGGCTCGACCCCGGCCCACGTGTGAACGTGGTCAAGTGTCGACCCGTGTCCGCGTCCGTGCAGTGGGTGACCCGTCGGCGCGCAGGGGTGAACTGGTCGACCCCTGCATCCTGTAGGTCAGCACCCGCCACCAAGTTCGTAGAGAACGAGGGGAGGTAGAGACCGGACAGGGCGCCAGACGGGACCGCAGGGCACGGCAGGACAGTGGAGTAGCGAGCCAGAACAGGACCCCCAGAGGGGTCCGCCAGGGAGACCGCCACTGGCCGACTAAGCGGCGTGAGTGTGGTGCGGTCTTGAAAGAAGGAGCGAGACGCCCCCGAGTCAAGAGTGAAGGTGAGAGAGGGCGGAGCCGACGCAGTACCTGAGAGAGCAGACTCACCAGCACCTGAGGACACAGACCCACTGGCACCTAGAGCGACAGCCTCACCAGCACCTGGAGCAGCAGCCTCAACAGCACCTAGAGCCGCAGTACCAATGCCCGGGTCGGGCGGGAAACACCGGTAACAGTCACCCTCCTCACTAATAGTCACAGCATACATGGCACGAAGAATAGCATCAAAGTCAAGATCAAAGATAGCTACTCCTGCCCTAGACAGCTGGTCCCAGCGAGGGATCTCAGAGGCGTCAGGAAACTGGCGGCGCCAAGCGTCAGTCAGGCGGCCGAAGCAGCGGTGAACGGAGTGAGGACCACCACACTGCTCACCCGCACGGTCGCCAGTGCGCAGGACGTAGGTGCACGGACCAGTACCCCCACCCCTCTGACGTGCAGCGTACCACTCACGGAGCTGCTGCGGGGAGAGAGTCTCCTGACCACGCTGCTGCTGCTGGGGCTGACCACCACCGGAGCCACTCCTCCGCGACGAGCCACGACCGCCGCCGCCCCCTCCGCCGCCTCCTCCGCCGCCACCGCCACCACCTCCACCGCCACCGCCACCTCCACCGTCGCTGCCGCCACCACCGCCTCCGCCTCCACCCCCACCACCACCGCCACTGCCGCCCCCGCCTCCACTGCCGCCGCTGACACCTCCACTCCCGCCACCACTCCCGCTACCACCCTCACCTCCTCCGCTGCCTCCACCGCCGCCTCCACCGCCCCCGCCGCCTCCCCCACCGCCCCTGCCTCCCTTGCTCTTGCCAGAGCGACGTCTCCCACTGGGGGCTGACGCCGCACCGACCGACTCAAAACCAACTAGGTCGGCCGTAGCAGCAGAGGCAACAGAGGGCAGGAGGGGGGAGGGGGAACACCCCTCAAAGATGGGGGTGCGCGGGTCACCACGAGAGGCCCCTACAGCGAGAATGCTCTTCTCGGCCGCTAGGAGGGACTTCTCGAGGAGCTCAACGGTGAGAGTGGTGGGGCAGACTGAGAGTAAGTCGTCCCTGACTCCTCGAAGGGAGTCAGGGAGGCGGGTGACAATGTAGTAGAGAGTGAAGTACTTGGGGGGGGGGTTCTTGGCGCAGAACTCAGCAGGAAGCGCAGCGCGGAAGCGAGCGTCACTAGTGCGCAGGTGGGTAATGAGGTCGGCGACTGTGGCAAAAGCAGCAAGGTCGGGAAAGAGGTACGGTAGCATGAGGCGGCTCAGTGCAGCAGTGGCAGGGGTGGAGTAGCGTGCAATAACGGCGTCGTACAAGGTCTGAGCACTCTTGTACGACCCAAAGTGCGCACGCTCAGCAGGGGGGAGGTGGCGACGCACAGCAAGACGTGCAGCAGCATCGCGAGTGGCCCACTGGGAGCGAACAGTGGCATCCTCAGTAGCAGCAGGGGCGGGAGAGGCACCAGAGGTGAGATCAAAGAGAGAGAGTCCGTCAGCTCTGTCGCACTGTAGGAAAAGCAGTAGGTCGTCTACCCACACGTCAAAGTCGATGGCTCTGCCCTCAGCGTCAAAAGTGAGAACACTGGGGGTAGCCATGACAGCAGTAGGGTGAGGACAGTGCGCAGAGTAAAGCTCAGTGCTCACCAGACAGGGCAGTGCAGGGAGGAATGATGCACTATGAAATGAAACAAGTACAAGTACCAACCCTAATTGGGTTGTACCCCATATGGGCTACCCCACTACAGCCTACATATATGCATCAGCAATATATAATCATCTGACACGAGCATGTGTGACAGAATCATAATTATGGCAAATAATTGATTACAAACCGGTGCTGCAAGTCCTGAACACATTGATGATAATGTGATTCAGGAAGGTACCATAGACTATGTCCACCTTTCGTAAGACCAAGTTCGCTTGCGTGTTGTTGGAAACATATAGTTCGCGTTTTTTATGTTTCGACCATGAAGCTTTTGACGATTTATGCAACCAATATGCATGGGTACGTAATATTGACGATGTAAAATGAAGCTCTTTTTATGTCTAGTTAGTGTTTACTGTTTGTTTGAGTTTTTTTTTAATCAATGAATTTTTAAGATGTAGTTTCCATTTTAGAGTTTTACTGATGACTAAGCATAGTTAAACATATCTGAGTTGTTCAAAGGTGATTCATCAGTCAGGTGAAATGACGCATTTCTGACTTGTTGACTTGGTTTTCACGTGTCTCTGAGTAAGTACACCAATTTGTTTTTAGAGTAACTAGAATCCCGTGGTTTGGTCTTCCTGTTTGCGTCCTAGTTTTTTGTCAGAACATATAGCTTACTTGTTTCTGTAGGCTATAGTGGGGTATCCCATAAGGGGTACAACCCAATCAGGGTTTCCCATTTGTACTCACTTCGTTCATAGTCATTTCATTCTCGTTCACTTCTTCTCATGGTATCGAGCAGGTTCCCCTGTGGGAACTGTTCGTAGGGCCCACCACCGCTACCTCTTAACTTTTTTTTCTGCCCGGAGCGCGCTCCGGGCCCTAGTACTTCTATTTTTTTTCGATCTGCCCTAGTGCTCTGACGGCCGCCCGCCCTAGCGCCCGAGCGCCGCCGCCCTTGCGCCCTGACAGCCGCCCGCCCTAGTGCCCTGACGGCCGCCCGCTCTAGCGCCCGAACGCCGCCCGCCCTAGCGCCCTGACGGCCGACCGCCCTAGCGCCCTGACGGCCGCCCGCCCTAGCGCCCGAGCGCCGCCCGCCCTAGCGCCCGAGCGACGCCCGCCCTAGCGCCCTGACGGCCGCCCGCCCTAGCGCCCGTGCGCCGCTCGCCCTAGCGCCCTGACGGCCGCCCGCCCTAGCGCCCTGACGGCCGCTCGCCCTAGCGCCCTGACGGCCGCCCGCCCTAGCGCCCTGTCGGCCGCCCGCCCTAGCACCCGAGCGCCGCCCGCCCAAGCGCCCGAGCGCAGCCCGCCCTAGCGCCCTGACGGCCGCCCGCCCTAGCGCCCGTGCGCCGCTCGCCCTAGCGCCCGAGCGCCGCCCGCCCTTGCGCCCTGACGGCCGTCCGCCCTGACGCCTGAGCGCCGCCCGCCCTAGCGCTCTGACGGCCGCCCGCCCTGACGCCTGAGCGCCGCCCGTCGTCGCCCCAGCGCCCTAGCGCCCGACGCCCGCGAGCCGCGCGTCGCAGCCGCCCGTGAGCTGCCCGAACGCCGCCCGCCGAGCCGCCCGTGCACCCGCCCAGCGTGAGCCGCCCACGACCGCCCAGGCCGCCGTCCCTGAGCCGCCCGCCGTCCCTGTGCCGCCTGTGCAGCCGCCAGCGAGCCGCCCGCGCCGCCCCAGCAACCCGAGCCGCCCGAGCCGCCCGAGCCGCCCGCGCCGCCCCAGCAACCCGAGCCGCCCGAGCCGCCCGAGCCGCCCGCGCCGCCCCAGCAACCCGAGCCGCCCGGGCAACCTGAGGAGCCGAGCTCCTGCTCTTGCGGGGCTGCTGCTGCTCCCACGCGTGCGCAGCTGCTGTTCTGCCGAGTTGCTGCGCCGCTGTGCTACCCGACTCTTCGTCCTCGGTGAGACAATCAGCTGCTGCAATGGCCACCCCCAGTGTCCTGTCTTTTGACGCTGAGGGTCGCGCCATTGACTTTCCAGTCTAGATTGAGGACCTGCAGCTGTACTTACTGTGCGATGCGATCGATGAGGTTTCTCTCTTTGACTTTGTCTCTGGAGCTGTCCCTGCCCCTCCTGCTGATGCTGACCCTGCTGTTCGCTCCAAGTGGGCCACACGCGATGCTGCTGCACGTCTTGCTGTGCGTCGCCACCTCCCTTCCTCCGAGCGTGCCCACTTTAGTCAGTGCAAGACCGCTCAGGCCTTGTACGACGCTGTAGTTGCACGCTACTCCTCCCCTTCCTCTGCTACGCTGAGCCGCCTCATGCTACCGTTTCTCTTCCCTGACCTCGCTGCCTTTCCCACTGTCGCTGACCTCGTTACCCACCTCCGCGCTAGTGACGCTCGCTACCGCGCTGCCCTTCCTGCTGAGTTCCGCGCCGCAAACCCTCCTCCCATGTACATCACTCTCTACTTTCTCGTCACCCGTCTCCCTGAGTCCCTTCGTGTCGTTAGGGACCAGTTTCTCTCTGTCTGTCCCACCACCCTCACTGTCGACCTCCTTGAGGAGTCCCTGCTAGCGGCTGAGAAGAGCATCGTCGCTGTAGGGGCCTCTCGGGGTGACCCTCGCACCCCCATCTTTGAGGGGTGTTCTCCTTCCCCCCTGCTGCCCTCTGTCGCCTCTGCCGCTGCGGCCGACCTCGCTGGTTTTGAGTCGGTCGGTGCGGCGTCTGCCCCCAGCGGTAGACGCCGCTCTGTCAAGGGCAAGGGGGGCAAGGGAGCGGGTGGAGCTAGAGGGGGCAGTGGCGGAGGAGGTGGGGGTGGCGGAGGGAGTGGGGGTGGCGGTGGAGGTGGTGGCGGGAGTGGAGGTACTGGTGGAGGCGGTGGAGGCGGAGGTGGCGGCGGAGGCGGTGGCGGAGGAGGCGGGGGCGAGGGTACCGGTGGGGGCGGTGGCGGTGGAGACGGGGGTGGCGGTGGAGGCGGGGGTGGCGGTGGCGGCGGGGGTCGGAGTGGCTCGTCCCAGCGGAGCAGCTCTGGGGGTGGCCAGCGCTAGCAGCAGCAGCAGCAGCAGCGCTCTCGCACCGTCCCCGCCCCTCAGCAGCTCCGTGAGTGGTACTTGCAGCGTCAGCGTGGTGGTGCGTTTGGTCCCTGCCCCTACGTTCTTCGCACCGGTGACCGTGCGGGGGAGAGGTGTGGAGGCACCCACACAGCCCGCCGCTGCTTTGGCCGCCTGACCGACGCCTGGCGTCAGCAGTTTCCGGAGGCCGCTGAGATCCCCCGCTGGGGGGAGCTGTCTAGGGCTGGTGTAGCCATTTATGATCTTGACTTTGATGCTATTCTTTCTGCTATGTATGTTGTGACTGGTAGTGATGAGGATGACTGTTACCGGTGTTTCCCGCCCGACCCGGGCATTGGTACTGCTGCGTCAGGTGCTAGTGAGGCTGCTGCTCTAGGTGCCAGTGCGTCTGTGCTCTCAGGTACTGGTGAGTCTGCCCTCTCAGGTACTGTGTCGGCTTCGGCCTCTCACACCTTCACCCTTGACTCTGGAGCGTCTCGCTCCTTCTCTCGGGACCGCACCACTCTCACGCCGCTGAGTCGGCCGGTTGCGGTGTCCCTGGCTGACCCCTCTGGGGGGCCTGTCCTGTCTCGCTTCTCCACGGTCCTTCCGTGTCCAGCGGCCCCCTCTGGCACCCTGTCTGGTCTCTACCTCCCCTCGTTCTCGACGAACCTGGTGAGTGGTGCTGACCTACAGGATGCGGGTGTCCACCAGTTCACTCCTGCTCGTCAGCGCGTGACCCACTGCACGGAGGCTAGCACGGGTCGCCACCTGGCTACGTTTACACGTCGGCCAGGGTCGAGCCTGTACACACTGACCACTGCTTCTCCTCCAGGTGCTGAGTCTGGTAAGGTCCCTTCGTCTGGTCAGGTGTTTGCCGCAGCGTCCAGGTCTGGTCCTGAGTCTGCCCCCTGTTCGTGTCGTCGTCTGTCTCACGAGACCCTCCTCTGGCACCACCGCCTTGGCCACCCCTCTCTGCTTCGGCTCAGAGGCATGGCCTCCCGTCTTCTTGTGTCTGGTCTCCCCCGGTCTCTACCTCCCCTTCCTCAGGGCCCTGGCCCTGCCTGTGTCCCCTGTGTCGAGGGGCGCCAGCGTGCTGCCCCTCACTCCTCCCAGTTTCCTCCGACAGAGGCCCCGTTGCAGACGCTTCACATGGACGTGTGGGGCCCAGCCCGCGTCCGTGGACAGGGTGAGGAGCGCTACTTCCTGCTCGTTGTTGACGACTACTCGCGTTACACCACAGTCTTCCCCTTGCGCAGCAAGGGTGAGGTCACTGAGGTGCTGATCGACTGGATCCGCGCAGCTCGTCTTCAGCTCAGGCAGAGCTTTGGCTCCGACTTTCCTGTGTTGCGTCTGCACTCGGACAGAGGCGGAGAGTTCTCCTCTGGCCTTCTGCGTGCCTACTGTCGTGCGCGAGGCATCCGCCAGTCCTTCACGCTTCCGGACTCCCCGCAGCAAAATGGGATTGCTGAGCGCCGCATTGGCATGGTCATGGACGTCGCCCGTACGTCTATGATGCATGCGGCTGCCCCCCATTTTCTGTGGCCGTTTGCGGTCAGGTACGCAGCGCATCAGATCAACCTCCACCCCAGGGTCTCTAGGCCGGAGACCTCCCCAACCCTGCTGTGGACGGGGAAGGTTGGCGATGCGTCGGCGTTCCGGGTCTGGGGATCTCGGGCGTTTGTCCGCGACTTGTCTGCGGACAAGCTGTCCCCTCGCGCTGCTCCCTGCGTCTTCCTGGGGTTTCCCCCCGACACCCCTGGGTGGCAGTTCTACCACCCCACCTCTCGACGTGTTCTGTCCTCCCAGGACGTCACGTTCGACGAGTCGGTACCCTACTACCGCCTCTTCCCCTACCGCACTCCGTCCCTCCCCTCACCCCCGCTCTTCTTGGTACCAGGTCCCCCCCCGGTAGTCCCCCTCCCCCCTCAGGGTCCTGCCCCTTCAGGTGTGTCCCAGGTAGACGCCGTCGAGCCTGTCGAGGTCACTGGTGACTCTGGTGCTGCTGCAGGAGCTGAGCCTGGGGGTGCGGAGTCTGGGGGAGCTGAGCCTGGGGGTGCGGAGTCTGGGGGTGCTGAGCCTGGGGGTGT